CATTAACTACACAGAGCCGTTGTTCACTGACAAGTTGCGCAAAACCACGATCATATTTTGCGCATGTTTTGCGCAGCTTGTCGGTGAACAACGGCTCTGTGTAGTTAATGCTGCTCAATGTGAAAGCACTCACGTGATGGAGATTTACCGCTGATTACAGAATGGCTTTACTGACAAGATGCGCGTTAAATATCGCATGCGATTTATCGTGCAGCCCTAACGGTGATCTATAAGCACTCAGTAGAACCAGGTGTTACTGATGTTCTTTAGTCTATGAACAGGGTTTCCCAAGTTTTTTATTTTGTCAGCTAAACCACGTAAGTTGTTTACTGGAATTACCTGAGATGTTAAGTAATGTTATTTTTTTTAAATACTTAAGTATACTAGATATACATTTAATGGCTAATTTTTCTATATATAACTGATCATTTTCCTCATTTTTAACAATTTGCCTATTTTTTGGACTATTTTTGGAATAAACAAAAAATAAAGGAATTATTTTATTTAAAAATGTATTGTTATTTTTAGTATCATTGATATATTATTAAAGTTTTTGTATATAATATTTTATTTTTATATTTTCAGTTTTTACTTCAATTTTTGAATGTCTATATAGTTTTTATTGATTTTTATTTATTCGTTTTATTTTTAGTTATTTTAGTACTTCAATTTAAACTAAATGAAAAGGAGAAATGTTGCCAGCTGAGATAAAAGAAAACAATTTTAATACTGTTATTTTATTTTATTTTATTTCAAGTAATGAAAATATCTTTGATTCAAATAATGAAAATGTCTTATGGTTTAAATTTTAGTTTTGGTTAACAACTAAATAAACTTAAATAAATTAAAATTAAGATGAAGCAGTAGTTTCTTACAGAATTTTAGACAAACACGGTTCACCTACAATACATAATTACCTTAACTATCAAATATATTAACTATCGCAATCAAAATTAACTTGGCCAATTTAGAATAAAACAGTGAGTGTACATCATTTTAAATACAATTTTCTCTACAGGGTAAATATTTTAAAGAAGGTAAAGTACCTTAGTGTACCTTTCATTTGGCATCGGTACTTCCTGTAGTTCCATCATTAACCCCTAGGAGTCCACAAACCCCGGTTAGGAAACCCTGCTCTAGAACAGTGTTTCCCAACCGGGGTGATGCGTCTGTCGAGAGCAGGGGTGCCGTGTAAAAAATCCTTTTTTAATATTTTTAAATTGCTAAAATGTTCAAAAAAGCAGCTATTATATAATATCCATTTCTGATGTCGCCAATAATTATAGATGCACCGAAATTTCGGCTGCCGAATTAGTTCACCGCTCAGGTTTCACTTTCACGTGGTGTGACGCTCTGCGTGTTATCCCGCTCTATGTGTGTGTGTGCTCCGCTCAGTCGCTCGCGTTCATGCTCATCGGAACAGCAAAGTCCACTCAAAAATTGAGCCGACAGGAAACATCGATGTAGTACAGTATTGTTTCTGTCTGCAATAGCCCTACTGTGTTGTAACAAGGTGTGGTATATGGGCAACTCTGGTAACGCTGCCCTCTCATTCATTGATCTGCTAACCGTTATGCTCATGTGTCCTCTGATAATAATAGCTTTCTAAGATTAAACATTATTTGGATAATTGGTAAAAAATAAAATAAAATCTCTTAATAGCCCTACAAAAATACACTGAGTGAGCAAAACTTTGTTTAATTACCATTATAACTATCTCACAATGTTTACATATGAATAAAAGCCTACATTAAAATCTGTCATATAAATTGGTCTCTTCATTAGAAATTAGCCTACTGATTGCCACCATTGATGGACAAATTTTTTTATATAATATTAAAAATATCTGTATGACATTATATTCTGCAGTTCTATGTTGTACCGAATATCTATACTTTTCAAATTATCATATCGAAGTTAGAAATTCAAATATTGTGACAAAATTAATTTTGTAGGGTGCCACAAATTTGCTAAAATTTCCAAAGGGTGCCGCGACTAAAAAAAGGTTGGGAAACACTGATCTAAAACACCTTCAGCCGGCATTCACTGTAAAACACTCGTGCTTTTAAGCCAAATACACACTGAAAAGAATTCTGGACGCGAGTCACTATCCTCTCCTCCATCTCTGATGAAATCGTCCGTGTTATCTCTGCATTAGTGCTGTTTTGAACGTATTACTTATTACTAATGCATTTGCTTGAACTTTCCAGAAGTTTACCGGTTTCAAATGACCTCCTGGTAGTGTGCTTTATATAGTGTCATTTCTAATCACCCAGACACTGACGCTTTGACTCAGTACCAGCAACATATCACATCAGAAGTACTGTGCCAGTACGCTAAAGACTCAAATATAGAAGTACCGGCCCACTTCAAGCACTGGGTTTACCTCCATACTACATACAAAAACTAGGTAACACTTTAGTATAGGGACCAATTCTCACTATTAACTAGTTGCTTATTAGCATGCCTATTATTAACATATTGGCTGCTTATTAGTACTTATAAAGCATTTATTCTGCATGACCATATTCTACATCCCTAATACCTAAACTTAAAAATGACCTTACTAATTATTAATAAGCAGCAAGTTAGGAGTGTATTGAGGCAAAAGTTGTAGTTAATGGTTTGTTAGTAGTGTGAATTGAACCTTAAAATAAAGTCCGTTAACCATTTAACAGGTTTTTACTGTAGCATTTTTACAGTCTTTTACCTTTAAATTCATGGTCATTTTTTACAGTGTATGTTTTAGATAGCTATTTTAATGGTGTGTCACTTGATCTTAATTGCACTTTGAATTTCTAAAAACGTAAATGAGTGGTTCAGAAAAAGAGCGAGAGAGCAGGAAATGGACTGACATCACAGAACAACACAACCTCCCATTGCAACAATAAACAGCACAAATTATATCCTGCTGTAGAAACCTATTAATAGTCTTTGGTTTACTGACATTAGAACCTCATATGTGTCACACAATGCCACGTGAAATAAATAGACTGATTAGAGCAATGGCGTTCAGCTGAAGTTTAAAGAGGTCCCATCTATAAATGTTCTTCCCAGCCAAGGTCCAAACAAGCACTTTATATCTTTATGAAAAGAAGTAATGTGCATGTCAGGAGAATTCAAATTATGTTAAGTTGACAGCCATAATAACTGTCAACCAGCTAGAGGAAGAATTAATATAACTTTACAAAGAAGAAAGATTCAGATATCACCATATGAGTATTTTACTTGTTTCATTTCTACTATTTATAGCACTTAAAGGGTCTTTTAACTTTGTCATCGGACAATTACTGGTGAAACAGTCTAGCTGCTGTTGTTGAGCCTGCACTATCAAACTGTTGATCTGGAACTGTGTCACAGGAAACTAAGGAAGAGGGCAATTGTTCTACAAGATAAAAAGTGACGACATCACATGAGGTGCTTTCTGAACAACAGTTTGAAATGCAGATTATATAGAACAAGCATCGGCGCGTTAGTTGAGTAAATGTCCTTTAATTT